ACGATGTTTTATCTGCTGGAGTCTTCTGGTTCTTGTCACATGTACTGAAAGTGACACTCGAACAGCATTATGGGAGGAAGTCATTCATCACATGTGATATGCATGTCTCTTCTAGTTTCTTCCGCATGAATGGCCTGATGTGGCGAAGGGAGGCACAGTTCTTACACACCAAGCAACGTAAAACTGCAGGAATGGGCACTTTAAGCTCACGTATTTTCAACATGCATTTTTTGTGATGGTTGATGTCTCATTGGCCTTAATTTTAGTTCAAAACTCACATATATTTATTGCTGCAAAGCAAATACTTCAGATATGCACTATCATCGGGACCTATCAGTTTTCTTTATATGTCGAAAAAATATTTTAAAATGTTTACAGGAGGGTTTAATGAGTTCTAGGCCTGTATATAATTCTGTGCAGTAATCGTATATCACGAGCTGTTTAAACAATAGTAAATTCGATTTGAGCTTCATATATTTTAGTAATATTGACCGATGAGGATCAAAACTAAATTCGTCGGAAAACTTTTAATGCACAGAAATAAATCTGATTTTGTTGTGTATCCTCAGAAGTAGACACTGCATCTCGATTTTGCTTTCACGTATATAGTTGGTGCAACGAAAATAAACATGCAAAATTATTCATGAAGTTTATTACAGAAATGATTTATCAAAGTCACTTCCATCGCATTGGGAGATTCTTGGATGAAAACCTCAGAGATGATTATTCTGCTTCTTCTTCACCTGCTTCTTTCTGTATGAGAAATTTATAATACTGCCTATGTTTTTTTTATCCTACCCTAGACTTAAGCCTCTCAGCCATTAGTCTATTTCTGACAGCCCAATTCAGATTTGAATCGGCGATAAAACCAGTAAAATTTTCCGCAGATACTGCCTATGTACCAGTTGAGTGATTTAACTTTAGAATGTTCCTTTCTCAACCCTGCTGTTTCGTATTGCATTACATACCTACAATTCGTACACCAGTTCTCAACTTTTTAATTTTCAAACATAAATGGTTGCTTCGGTTAAGTAGCGTCTGTTATAACTCATCATACATTATTGCCAATCTCACATTCCTTTCGTCAACCATTTCCTACAAACGAATATCTGACAACCGAGTCTGATACAGAAAACTACTACTACTACTTAAACTTCAAATTGTTTTAAATTAACCTTCTTAATTTGGTTTTGATTTTGTGCAATGTTTTAGTTCTTAATATTGCATGCAAATAAATTTACTTTTAGCGCATTAATACTTTTAGATTATACATGTACCGTCCGTGCACACGTGAGACTTAAAATGGTTGGCGTAAACGCTGTAACGTTCCATCTCTTTCTTATTATGTGTAGGTCTATATAGCCATTTTTATTGTCATAAACAAGGTAGAATACTGGGCTTCTTGGAATTTTAACTTCGAACTATTTTTTAGATTCCGAGCGCCGTGGCCATTACAATAGTTGCTGTTGTCGGTTTCCGATCTCTCGGTCTCATGTTTGAATACGTTCCAGGCCTGCGGAGTCATTTGTGCTTTCAAAACAACCCATCATCCTGCTTGTCACTGTCAGACTCTTGCAGAAGTGTTTGCAATGGGCTGACACCCCCTGTCAGATGAAACTAACCTCGGCGGAGGCGATTGTTGGGCGATCATATAGTAGTAGGTCCACATCTGAGGCAAAAGCCTTGGTTGTATTTGCCTTAAGTTCAATAAACTTGTAAATGTGGTAGACCTTCTATAAGGTATTTGGTATGTTTAAATTACTGTTTGAGAGGAAGATAATATAAAATAGTTGCAGTGTGCAAGGATGTGGATTGAATTTATCTATCTGTGGGTAGACTGGTTTGTTGTGAACACGGTAATGAACATTTCGTTTTCATAAAAGGCGTGAAAACGACTGTCAGCTTCTCAAGAAGGACTGTGATCTATGGAGTTGGTTAAGAATAACCATTTAAATGATACCCTGTCTGTAATATTATAACCCAGCTCTGCATGAAAAAAACCTTGACGTTTTGCGCCAGATACCGTAGGACTATCTCCCCCTTCGTGTCTCAACAAACTGTGCAGGAACAATGTGCATGGGGTGGCGGAAACACGTGTTGGTGCACAAGAGAAGGAAGCTAGCTGTCTTGTGAAATTCAGTACGACAAACGGCAGTGAGCAGATATCGATTATTGTCAAAGCAGGATACACCCTCATTTGTCAATAATTACAGAATGCCAGCAACAAACCATCTAGTTCATATTTGCCACTGATATTACATGCACTGTTTCGTAACTATGTATAATTCTGTAAAATAGAGAAAGCCATTAGACTCATGTGTTTCAACTTTCAACTCCTGGACATTAAAAAAATTCTGACAAAAATTATATTAATTTCACGTGGTGAGAGCATATAAATACGATTTTATGCTGGGAAGACAACATTTATTAACAAACTCTATGGAGCAGAGTCCTTCTTCAGAGACTGACAGTCCCTGAAGTAGTCAAGAAATTTTCCTCCTTATATGGAACTTAAAAAGAACCAGTCACCGGTCCCTAATCTGAGGCAGATGAATCCAGTCCACACCCTTCATCCATATTTTTATAAGATCCATTCTAATATTATCCTTCAAGCGACTACTAGTTTTCCCAAGTGATTTTATCCATTCAGATTTTCAGACAGTTTAATAACTAGCTGGAGAAATGAATGGTTTAACAACACGTCTTTTCACCCTTGTCCTGCTGTGGTCTCTTGCGGACATGATAATTGACATGTTTATGCCACAAAAGGCATGAAACTTTCACAGCTGAGCGACTACCAGTTTTCCAAGAAGACCCTTCCGCTGCGGCGTTAGTAGGAATTTGTCTCTTCAGTCATTCGGGTTTGTAAGACTCAGAACAAAATAATCGGCGAAGGTAAAAATTTGTCCTTGGTGCTTAATTAAGCACCACGTTATGCAGACGTATGGGGAAGTGGAGACCGAATTCCCCGAATCCTTAACCTCGTTGCTAGATGAGGATGAATAGTTAGCTTCACGTTCCCCAGTTCTGAAGTATGAATGTTTTAAATATTTGGTAGGACTTCTTTAACACAGCTCGATCCATCGAAACAAACGTAACACAGGTAGTCTAAGGTAAACATCCATGCCCTGAACCGAATTTGAATGTGGAATCTCAGCGTTCGTGTGATCCTTGGCTGACTGAAGATTCTGTTCATGTAGTTCTTCTGAATGACAGGAAAACCATATGTATCTACAGTTACATTAACCATCCTCTGGGTTCTGTTTCTACATCTCCCCCTCTGGAGGCAAGCGCGACTGCTGCGCTCCATTTACTTTCGTTCTTCTTAGTCTTGTAAATATCATCCCAAAAAGTTCATCTCGAAACTTCACCATGTGTCGATGTTTAAGTTCCATGTGACGGGTGCGTAGTTGTGGCTGTAGGGGGAGCGTTCCAAGTTCTGATGAATGGTGTGCACAGAAACCGGTGCGGGAGCGAGGGAGTGAGTGGGGTACAACATGTGTGTCTCTTCCAGATCTCCTTGCGACCGACCCTTCATGTGGTGTTGTCGCCACGTGGTCCATATCACACCTCCGCTACAGAGTCAGCCAGCATCCACCTGGCTGCTTTGTTTCTGGATTTTGATTGTTAAAAATCGATTGCCCTGACTGCTATTCCTTCAGCCCTTCCTTGCAGATGTTGGAATAGTAAATTAAAATAGGCCACCATGTATCCCTTCCACTTCTTAATTCATAATCACCGTCGTATTCGACACTATATAACGTCTGCAGTCGAGAAGCTCGGGTTCTCACCTTGGTCATTCCAGATGGTAGATAAGTGGCACTAGGACGGGTTTTTCTTCTAGTTCTTAAGTTCTTCCTCCTCAGTATCATTCCAGTCATGTTACATATTCGCTCGCATATATCATCTGGGGTTGGACAGTGAGCTCATTAGCGGCTACAAATCCAGAGAGTCATAGTTTCTCCCTTTTCGTAACAATAACGATATATACAGGCGAGAAAGTGTCGGTACATGAAATAACACGTAAAGAGACAAACAAGTCACGCTTATCTGTATTGGATTCCGATAGACAGAGGATTGGTCCTCGCTCCCTAACTTGGCACCATTCAACAAACTGACATCTGGTTTCTAGATTGTATTAGATACTTCACTCTGGTCACTGTTACGCTGGAAATGAAAGAGTAAGTGTTTGATGCAAAGACCTCCTGATTTTACATATTGCTGTCAAAGACTGCAGATATTACAGCAAAGCTGAAATTCCTTGTGCCCTTTTTTCTTTTTTATCAGTCACAAAAAGTTATGTCAATAATTACAATGTCCTATTCTTTACTATGCAGGCTTTAATTAGAATTTATTTTCGCCTTTCACGGTTTGTCCTCTTGTACCGCCTAAATTTTGCAGTATAATGGATTCTTTCTCCCCGAATCCTCACGAATTAGGCCCTTTGGCCCGTTTCCATTCAGAATTAATTCCGAAACAAGCAGTCCTTCAGATTTTCAGTAGGACTTCTTGGTGGGAGATCGGTTCATCGTAAGGACTCTGCTTTTAAGGACAGCACAGAAGAAAAAGCGAATATACCCGTTCTCCGAGGGTGATTGGGACCCGCGATTTCCAAGACGGTGAACATTTTAAATCCCTTAGCAACTGCTATCGGATGTATAGGCTTTCGTCTCTTCAATTTGGGAAACACTCGTCAGGGCTCTTGGACAGATTTACGGTTCACTGCAAGGCTTCTTAAAAATACAGATTACACAGGCTCTTGTAGGCCTCTACAGACAATCCTTGCACGGAAATCGAACCCCCGATCCCGTGTCCTAGACATCCAAGGCACGTGGCCGATATGTTCATCTTCGTGTTCCCGTAAACGTGACGTAAGAAGGGGACTGCGTTTGAAACTCCTGGTTGTGTTCTTGGAGC